CTTTACTTTACTTTACTTTACTTTACTTTACTTTACTTTACTTTACTTTACTTTACTTTACTTCACTTCAATTGACTTCACGTCACCTCGTTTCCGTTTCTTTCCCACCCCACGCGTCTCATCTCACCTGCGGCGTCGGTCAGCTCCGTCGTCCTCATCATCTGCACGATGGCGTACTCCTCCTGCTCGCCGACATCCTCGACGCCCAACTCCTCGGCCAGCCCCTGCGCCACGGAGCTGGCCAAGCCCAACTGGCCAACTTGGATGGGCAACACACTCTCGGGACTCACGAAGATGCGCAGCTCGCAGATGAAATAGCCGTTCTGTATGTTCGTCAGTCCGTGTGCCAGCGTGTGTGTTTGCGCGCGTGTGTGTGTTCGGTAGGCCCACATGTGACCGCATGCTTGCCTGTGTGTGCATGTTGCTGGTCAAGGGCGTGTGAGAAAGCGAATGTGTGTGTGTGTGTGTGTGTGTGTGAATGTAGTTGAGCGAGGCAAAAAGTGGGGTGTGAATAGAGAGATGGGAAAAAGGTGTGAGCAAATGGAGGAAGAGGTCACTAGGACGACTGGTTGGTGCAAGAAGAAGGGGGAGGGGTTGAGCAAAAGGTAACCCGCTCGAGTCCCGTTTGTCCATTGCCAGTGAGCGGGACTCGAACAAGCGGCCGGCAAAGTGCCGTCTCCGCGAGTGTTGACGATCCGCCTGCGTGGCTGGCGCCTCGAGACGGCGTCGACGGGAGCGAAATGCGAGAAAAAGAATGGACAATCGGCGGGGACAAAAGGAAAAAGCCAATCAACACGTACTACTCACGAGTAGAAAGGAAAGCTCGGTCGCGTTGGGCAGCATGCCTCGGGGGCCGAACTCGAAGACCCGATCCAGGCTCCTCTGCACCTCGACGGCGGTCTGTTCTGGGGGCGGAAAAGACGAGAAAAAGGTACAAAATAGGCCGACGACAGAAGGTTTCAAGTCAACATTTTTTTGGTTTGTAAGCAGACTTTCGAGACTACCAGAAAATCAGTTATATGCGATGAATTCACTCTATTACGTTACGACTGATCGTTGCATTTTGCCACAATCTGATGAGTAGAACAGACTTCTCCATTCCGTTTTACACTGCGAATTTTAAGAAAGGTCAGACATTTTTCCCATATCATATTCCGTATTGCGATTGTAAATTAGACAAAGTTGTAGTTGCTATTGCAATCGTATAGACTACTTATTATCCGTTTATAAGTAGGCAGTAAATCGGATAATGTATAGGAAAATGCCGGTTTTCATATAACACATAATGCAGCCGGTCGAGGCCAGTCTTGAGGCAAACACTCGGTCATATGAGCTGCATTCCCCACAATTCATATGAGCCGACAGTTGAATTGTCCCATATTCACTTGAATGACCCTCATGTCCCCCATCACTTTCATACAAATCTGCTGCCAAAAAGCCAATCTCATGCCCATTCGACTCGACTCGACTCGACTTGACCGTATCTTCTTCCTCACCTCAGTTCGCCACATTTTGAAGAAGTACCAATCTATTACATAAAATCTACTTATACACTAAATAATAAGTAGTATAATCGAATGTAATAGCAAATATAAATCTGGATGTAGACACGAAACCTCCAAGAGGGTGACTACATTCCGTAAACACGATCATTGAGTAGTCTGTAAAGCCTACTTATAAACGAATAAATTTGTATTCGTTTGTCTTCTTATCTCGCATCAAAGCCAGTAAACAGCAACGCTTTTAGATCCCAGATTTCTATCCTGATTCTAGAGTCGCAGCCTTGCGATTTGAGCCAAAAGATTCAAGATTAAAAACAGATGAAGAGGGAGTTGGCACTCAAAAATGGAGAATTGAATGCAAAGTTGGATACATTCCGAAATCGGGAATCGAGAATGGGATTTAAAATTCACAATTCAGTTTTCGGGCCTAGTTGAGAACAACTTTTGGGAAAGCAAAGTTATGTGAAATTAAAATGGAAACGTCATCTCTTCTCATTTTATTGTGGGACAATTCTACCGCCAGTCCTTCATCCCCCTAAACGAAATCGGGTGAATTCATCTCATATTTGGCATTCATGACTTGGAATTCAGTGTTAAAAGTCTATGATTTTGGCAACAGGAATTGGGATTCACGACGTGAAACGATGAACTTGGTAATTTTGCAGACTTGTCTTCTGAATTTGGGATAAATGATTTGTGATTCATAGTTGAAGAGTTGCGATATGCAACATAGAACATGGCCAGCAGCTCGAAATTCAACAACATCATCGACAAAATCACACCTTCGCCCGACCTTGTGCAATCGGAGTGATGGTCATGACATGTTTTGTAGAAAGAGAGGCATGTTGGTCGTCAAACCTCGATGGCCGAAAACAGAGGCCACTTTTGCTGTCCCAATTACTTTGACCCGTCACGGCTGGTTCCGCGCATGGGCGAACA